CCAGGACAAATCATTACTGACCCATTTTCCAGTTCTTCAAAATTTCACAACCACTTTTCAATCAGTTAACAAAATATAAAATGTACCACATAAAAATTGTCATACAATGTTAAAATTTAATCAGTTATGTATTATGGAGAAATTTTGACAAACTCAACTTCAGATAAATGGTAATAAACAATTTTAACCTAATTATAATGCCATTTTTTAATCTTGATATCTATTTGCAGTGGTAAAGCTGTCACAATTGGGGTATGGATGTACATTTTAATTTGCATAACTGAAAAAGCATGTTCTCCAGATTTTTTTAGGATCTTAAGGTCTATATGACACCATTCTAGTGACTGCTTACTGAAAAGTTACCAAAGAGAATGTTTTTCCTTGTTTAAGTGATGTTACTTTACTGATGTATTACCTTCCAATTAAGAATTGTATGGTAAAATATGTACATATTAAAATTATAGCTTTTGAAGTGCAGTATATATTATGACTTCAAGATATTGAAACAGTTGTCCAACTTAATATCCATTTCAGCAGACTGACAAAAAACTGAGTCTGTAAATCAATTATTTTTAGAAAATTATTGCGATTTGTAACTGGCTAAATAAAGGATTAGTGGAAAACACACATTTCACATATTTTGAACTAAAATGCTAGCATTTTCTTTTTTATCGCCATAATTGACATTGCTGCTAATAAATGTAGTCAAGGTGAATGCAAGATGTGCTTACAGTTTGGTTACATGACAAATAAGGTCAAAAATAAAAAAATTCTAGGGATGATTGAAAAGTGGTTGTGATTGAAAACTGGCAGTATGTGGATAATGTATTTTTTGAAAAAGCACAACTTGATAACTATCACATCAGAGGAAATTCCATGAAGTTGAAAATAAAATCATGTAAAAAGGAATTAAGAAAACATTTTTTCTCATTAAGAGTAATACCAGAATGGAATAAATTACCAAATTCTGTAGTATGTTCACCAACGCTGAATTCGCTAAAAAACAGACTCGATAAGGTTATGAAAAACAAATTATACTGTTATACCGGATAATAATCATTGGGTGTCAGACCTCGAGGGGGTTATAAGAGATTTCTAATCTCGCGACCCTACGCTGGATAAAGTAAAGTAAAGTAAAGTAAATAAAAATTAAAAAAAAAATCTCATTCTTACGGACGCAGACATATTAGATCATGATCAGTAGACGCTTTTATCAATGATATCACATTTACGCGAAAAGAGCGAAACCTGCGAAAAGGGTATCTAATAGATTTATTTTTATTTTTTATTTCATTTCATTTCATTTCATTTATTTATTTATTTATTTATTTATTTATTTATTTATTTATTTATTTATTTATTTATTTATTTATTTATACGGATACAATTAAGTTGCTGACGGGTTATATGGGGGAATATTATAGCTTGAATGTGATAAATATGATCCTAAGTGATACTGTATATACTTCAACATACAAGATACAAGATACAAGAAACTTTATTTTAACTATAAGTCGCTTTACAAATTACAAGAAACATTAGATAATAATTTAAGCTATTTACCGACAATAACAAAGACATAAAACATAAAACATATTTATCAGTACGGGTATGAGACATTGATAATGCAAAGACATATATAGTGGTAACGGGTACAAAGAATAAAACATTTCCAACAGCTTTACTGTAAGATTAACCATTTAGGGACGTGGTAGTGTGTAATAGAGAAGCCCAATTACACTGAATATGACAGTGCTTCTAGCAAGTTATCTTATTAACAGGAAAATTACAAATGTATCTGAATGGCGGTATTTGCTTATCTGAACCTGGGACCAAAATTACTTTTTTTTTTGGTCCCAGACTGAACAGCTAGTTGATGTGACATGGACAGTGTATGAGGAGACTCAAGAGTAGATATCTGCACATAACATGATTGAAATTAAGTGTATTCCCCCCCTGTACAATTGTGTAACCCTTATATCCCTGTATCCCTGGTTAATGATTTTGGTTTTACTGTATATGCTCACGAGCGTTAATTGCTCCTGATTGTCACTGTATAAGTTTGCTTTTAAAATAAGGTGGGCAGAAATTTAGTGTTACTGGTTGTCAGGAAAATGTCTTTGGTGTTCTTTAATCTCAAGAAGGATTAAGTAATAAAACTATAACAAATTCCCAAGATATGGAGGCAGAGCAGAGTCGTCTGACTTTAATCATTGAAATATTCCCTGTTAGAGGACTATAGCAAGAGATTGTTTAGTTTACACTACTTTTTAAGGAATTGTTTTATCTTTTCCTATCTCAAATCCATTTATACATTAAAACAACAAACTCTGATCATCATTTACAAATAAAACACACTCTATTCATTAAATACTTATACAAAATATGTTTTCAAATACGTCTTTTATACGATACAAAACTAAACACCTGTCGAGCCAAAGCTCTAAACAACTTATGATAAAAAAAAAACAATAAAATTGCCGCAAAATAAAGAACACAAAATGATTATGTTACAACTCTAAGATTGATATAAACAAAAACATTCAACCAAAAATAATGTCGAGAGGTACGATATGGTTTTATGTGAAACATACTGAACATTATGTCCCATACGGTCGTACCTCTCGACATTACAGTAAACTCCTTTGCTACTGTAATTTTTTGGCATTTCATAGTACGGATAAGGCCCCCAAACAAATGGGATGAATACAAAGAGCTGACTCAGTTGCCGTTTATAGAGTGTTAACCTTAAATACTTGAATGAGTCCTCAATTTCAAATTGAATATCATTAATTAAACCCTATGAAAATATGGTTTGTTTTCCGTCCTTTTTCAAATATTTTTAATACTGTCAGTAAATCCCATGAGCCACAATATATTTTAATATCATTAAGTATCGACTGTAATGTCTGTGGTTCAGGATATTTATTATAGAAAAAAATGTAGCTCTGTGCTGTGGTGTTTCTGTGTAGACAGGATAAAATATGATTAAACTAATTGCAAACTTGGACAGATATGGCAATCTTATGAATTTCAATCTTATGAATTTCATAGACTGACATCGATCTGTATCAGTAACACAGCTCGTATGCAAGGGGATCTGCCTTAAAGTGACATTATAATTATTGTTTATTGTCAAGTTGAGCTGAATTGATTATATAATTCAAAGAAAGCTACTGATACAATGTTGATTGACCAACAGTTGATACTTGAAAATGTTAGTATAAAATATTTATCTGCCTAAAATATTAAAAAAGACTGCCCCATTTATTAATTAATTTTACATTACATGTAAATTCAGATGAACATTTTTGGACATTTCCTTGGCCATGCGAGTTATTTATCGTTTATGCTTAGTGAATTGTAAAATCGAAAGGAATTGTGGACAAATTTAAACTCATTTTGACTTTCAGCTTTTCACTCACTTAATTTCACGGGCAGCACGAAATACCCAAATATACCCAAATACACACAAACGTACCCAAATATTGCCCAAATATACCCAAATATTGCCCAAATATACCCAAATATTGATAAAATATACTAAATATAAATGTTTTATACTAAAAAGTGCTGTTTTAATGATGAATTATAATATAAACTTTCACGCAAACTAGTCAAATCGGCCCCAAGTCAGATCGGCCCCAAGTCGAAATGGCCCCAAAATTAGTCAAATCGGCCACAAAATGAGTCAAATCGGCCACACAACAATTTTGAAAAGTCAAATCGGCCCCAAAACTAGTCAAATGGGCCTCAAAACAAGTCAAATCGGCCCTAAAGATATTTTTGTGAAACGTCCTATTTTGGTAAAATTAAGGTTATTAACCGAAAATTGCAAGGTTATTTACTGAAATTGCACTTTAACATAAACACACCAATTAAAAATAATTCATTTAAAAATTCAAACAGCTTTGATGCTAGTGATAATTGTTATTAATGTAATTATGCAAATGTGCTATGGTTGTTGATTGGTTATAATACATGTCTTTAATCAATTCAGTTATTGTCTCAAATTACATGCATTCAATTCGGCGATTTTAACAACTTTACCGGTAAGTGTCTTTATTGACAAAACTTATCAGGGTGAAATATTTGAAATATACTTTATTAAATTTTTATGCTTGTATCACTCGTGAGAAAAAACTATTAGCAACGGCACTGTTGAAAAAGAGTTCAAGCTTATATACCTACCAGGGGTGTTGGGATAAGAAGCAGAGTAACAGTGATAGGAAATGGCAATTATTCGTATGAAAAACCCTCATGTGCCTCATACAGTTACATGTTTACTGTTTCATATGTTTATGGTACATTGAAGATTAATGTAAAAATTGTTATACTCAGACAATATCATATGTTTTGTTCTTTTTTCTTTGTATTCCATGGTATATCATTAGGTATACCCATCCACACAATTGGTTTTATACATTTTCCTATCATTGTGCTTTGAACCAAAATATACCCAAATACTGTACAGTACAGTACCATTAAAGCTATATCAAATTTTCTAAAAAAATAATACGATGGACACTTGTTTGAAATTTCAACAAAATTATACCCTAAAAATTTGTATGAAATTTCAACAAAAATATACCCTAAAAATTTAAATGCAGACAACAAATTTTATCATATCTTTATTTTAATTTGCAAGTATATTCAGTGATGAACCTAGATAAGCAAATGTCACAAGTTTATTTTCTTACAACAACTGAACTGCCAAATTTAATGGAATAAATGAAAGTTATAGCTGACTAAGTCATATTATTTTATTAATATTAACTCTTTTTCACATTATAATCTGTGTTTCATATAAACAAAAATTGGATGTATTTGGGTATTTCGTGCCGCCGTAATTTCACTGAATGGTTATGATGTCACTTTAATGTTTCAGTCTTTTTTAAGCATGTTATGGGTTCGATATATCTGAATATTACTTGTACGAGTTTCTACTCGATTTTGGAATTAATCAAGAATTTCACTATATTCGAAAATCGAGCAGGTTGGTTAAGAATAAAGAATATTGTTCGATCGAGGTATTTCAGAATTTAATCGATTACCTCATTTCATGTACAAACATGGCGGACACGAGCTCTCTACTCACCGTTGGTGGTGACAGAACAACAGGCCAGTCTGTTCGAACACAAAATGGTATGTTTAAATTTTAGATCCTAACCGTTCAATATTTTTCTATTTTATCTTTTAAAGCTTTATTTCCTTCAATTTCCGTTGGTTTTTGTTCAATTATCAGATGCGGCTCTAAACACATGGTCGAGAAGCTTCCACTGCTGTTACTGGGTGGGTGGGGAGTGGTAAACAAAAACTTTTAGTACCAGGGGTGCAAAGATAGGCTTGAACCCGTGTTATGATATATTACGATATAGGCGACGTATATTGCAGTATATTTTCGATACACTGATAATGAGAAACTGTAGTCCATTTTTTGTTAGGTTTTAATAAAAAAGCCCAAATTTTACTATGAAAAAATCAAATGCATAAAGGGCTATATCTTGGATTAGACCCCGGGTTCTAAACCAGGAGTATATATAAGGTTCATTCCGTTTTCTTTAGTGTATTATATGAAAGTTTTACTCCTGAAAAATACATAGGGGTCTAAACCAGGAGATTGCCGCTTATTCCATCATGAAAAAGGACAACAGCTCTGATCTTTAATTTCATTTGCTTGTCGTGTTCAGCTACAGGTATAACTTCTTAAAGCATACCCTTTTCTTATTGAATTTTGTATGATATAATTATATTCTTTGTATGATATATATAAGAATTAGATCTATGTATTTTCGGTTTCAGTCATGGCAGCATCCTCCATTGCCAACATTGTTAAAAGTAGTCTTGGACCAGTTGGGCTTGACAAGATGCTGGTGGATGATGTTGGGGTAAATATAAATAGACTTATTTGATGGCCACTAAAATGATATTTATAAGGCCATCCACTTAAATCTGTTTTGCAGATGCTATTTTTTAATGTTATGTCAAGAAAGGCATTTTTTCTATGCTGATACGAATAAGAATAATGCTGGTATCCAGGGCCCAAACACCATTTTTGGGGAAGGGGCCTCAGCCTTTTCTTGGGGAAAAATATGCGTGATTTTGGCATACTTTGGCAAAAGAGGTCTCAAATTAAACACAAACTTTTAACAAGTTCTTCAAAATAGATAAGCAAAAAGCACGGGGAATTACTAATAATGCAGTAAAAGACCTTAATTCAACACCATCATTTAATTTTGTTCTAAATTTTATGGGAAATTTCAAAAGACTGGAGAATTTTGGGGATCACACTGGGGGAAAAAAAGAGGCTAGTTTAGTTGGGGAAGCAGCCTATATTCGGTCTCTACAAAGAAGGGTTTTTTGGCCCTGGTATCATATATCATCACTAAGTTTTGATTAAGTGCAACAGTGTGACTTAAAACCAACACCATTGAAAATGAAGAAAATGAGTATTAGAAATGAAATTACGATTACCAATTTGCAGGATGTGACTATAACAAATGATGGTGCAACAATATTGAAGTTGCTTGAAGTAGAACATCCAGCAGCCAAAGTGTTGGTAGAGCTTGCTGATTTACAGGACCAAGAGGTTGGAGATGGTACAACATCAGTTGTAAGTTCTTGCATTATATATGGTTTACCATTAATTTAAAGTTTCAAGCTAGTCCAAGTTAGTATTGTAGGGTAAGTCAAAGTTTGGCTTGCTTTTGTGACACTCGTGAATGCTGCAGTACAAAGCCTGGTAAAAAAGACTTGTCCAAGAATGCTTCGAGTTTGACATTAACTTTTTCAACCGCTAGACATTTAGCCCCAGTAGTTCAGAAATTTTACTCAACCTGACTTGGTTTTTAACTTACAGATTGAACAGCATGGCAAGAGCTTGTTACATAGTTTGCCAACAACCAATAAGATACTTGTCACCCTTGATTTATTCATAAATTAATAAAATTAGATTTTCGGTTTAGCAGACTTGTCTGCAAATAAATTGATTATACATGTACACTGTTTAAGTGAAGATGATAGTAATTTTCTGATGAATTTTCTTACTAGATCAATCAGACCAGTTACATAATTATGGATTTAAAAAACCAAGACCATCCAGTGATTTTTGGTCATATGTTAATGTCTAAATCTGTTGCTGTTGAAAATTTAAATATTATCATTAATTATACAAAATTCACTACTCTCTCACAGATATAGTTCAGTGTTCACACAGATACAGATAGAGTTCAGTGTTCACACAGATATAGACCTTTTTCCAGACTTCCCGAAAGTTAAAAAAAGTGTCAGACATTTGGTCTGACAAACCATGAAAATCTGTCAGACGGAATGAAATTAATCAAAATCAAAGGAAAACTTGTGTTTGTATACTATTTCTAAGACACGTTTTTAATTTTTTACACTGTAAAAATTCTCAGTCTGTACAGTGCATTTTCACCTCCTCCCTGTCGTAAACAATTCACAGTCCTGCTTCCATTTTTCATTAAATTTTGTCTCTGGCCCAGTATTTTCATCCTTTTATTGATGTTCTGCGCGCTCCTCCGGCATAGATTTTTTTCCCCAGGTTTGGCACCTTTAGCGATGCCATTTTGTATACATGCAACTTTGATAAAAGCTGGACAGTCGCACCGATCAGGAATAAAAAATCGTCAGACCTACTCAAAATTTATCGGACATGTTCGTTGGACCGATGTATTTCGGGAAGTCTGTTTTTCCCATTATGTGGGAAAACAAAATTATGATATTTTTTGTTTGTTTCAGGTAATTATTGCTGCTGAACTTCTGAAGAATGCAGATGAACTTGTGAAGCAAAAAATACACCCTACATCTATTATAAGTGGCTACAGACTTGCTTGCAAGTAAGAAATTTACACATTTATAATGTACATAATTATTTATGTTGTCTAAATGTTGATTGTGATTGTATTTTATGTTGTTTTGTATATACTGAGGCCCGCATGGAAGATCGGGAAATTGAATGTGTTAGCCTCATTAAATAAAGTTGTTACTTACTTACTAACCTGAAGCCTGCTAGCAGCAACGAATTCTGTCAAAGCAACTAGTGCAGACCAAGATCAGCCAACACATTTGTCCTGTCCCATCATGGTCAGCACTGTTTGCTACTCAGTCAGTAATTGTATTGAAATTATTCCTTAACACAATGAATTTGTGCAGATTTAAAGTTAAACAAGTATATTTCAGCTATTGAGTGTGATAAGGGTTAAATGGTTGTTAAAAAAAATAATTTTTAGCTTTCATTTCAAAATTGATTATCTATCTGTTTTCTCTTAAAATGATAAAAATTTAAAAAAAAATGATGAAAAATTTAAATGTACAAATTAAACCAACAAAGTAATATTTAAAGAACAAGTCTGAAGGTAATTTCATTTTAAATGACGGGAACTCGTATTGTATTAAAGTTTTCAATTTGCTGATGTTTAGAGAATTTGAATATTACACGATTTTAGCACTGTTGCCTTACCTGGTATTGTTTCTTTTTTTCCAGGGAAGCATGTAAATATATCCAGGAGCATTTGACATGTAATGTTGATGACCTTGGGAAGGAGAGTATTATTAACGCAGCCAAGACGAGTATGTCAAGTAAAATCATAGGACCGTATCCTTTTGAATAGTGCATATAAATATTTCTGAATTTTTAAAAAAAAAATTAATTGATAAATGACTACTTTTAAAGCCTCTTGACCATGGACAAGTAGTTTATTTTGCCACCTTTAAAAATATCTTTGTTTTCCAGCCAAGTTTTGGTAGGGTTGGTAGTTGGGTAAAATATTTATTAATTTATTAAATAAATTTTGTATATCTAAGGTCTATATTTTGTGTGTTCGCGTGTGTGTAGCTGCAATTTTTGTGGGTTGGTAGCAGGATGGAAAATACAAAGATATATTTGCAGCCGTGTTGCTGACACTCGTGTTGTTTAGAACCATAATGTTCCTACACAAGTGCCTGAAATAATGCACATGGGGGGGATGGGGGGGTTGTCTTGAGTTTCATTTATCCGTCATAGTAGTATTAGCATGACTTTCAGAACAAATAGGGAGATAAAAAAATTATCACTGAGTCTTAATGATGATTGTAGCAGAATGAGACCATGTATTTTATGATTAGTTTATATTGACACATTGCACTTTGAAAACAACTAGATTTCTGTATTTAAATTTCCCATTCAACTTGCTTTTGGGTGCTTTACTTCACCTTCAAGTATATACACTGGGATAAAGTAAAATGAAGAACATGCAATTTGTCTTATTGACCAATGCTAAGCATGTTCGTCGAACATACGTTTATATTGAGATAAGTTTTCATTGCACAGGATTGAATTTAGGTTTGTTAATATATCATGGCTTACACGTGATAGAACAAATCCCCATTCAACTTGCCTTAAGGTGCTTTACTTAGTCTTTTGGTATATACACTGGGGGAGAGAAACATGTTAAACATCATGTTGGCATTGATGTGTATGTAAATGCTGAAATGTTTGACTAACAGACTTATTATGCCCCCATTTCGAAGAAAAGGGGGTATATTGCTTTGCACTTGTCGGTCCGTCGGTCCGTAGACCAAATGGTTTCCGAGTGATAACTAAAGAACCCTTAGGCCTAGCAACTTCGACCTTGTAAGCAAAAACGGTTTCCGATCAATAACTAAAGAACTTTAAGGCCTAGGAACTTCAAACTTGGTATGGTGATTGGTCATGATCTGTAGATGACCCCTATTGATTTTGGGGTCAAGGGGTCAAAGGTCAAGGTCACATTGACCTTGTAAGCAAAAACGGTTTCCGATCAATAACTAAAGAACTTTAAGGCCTAGGAACTTCAAACTTGGTATGGTGATTGGTCATGATCAGTAGATGACCCCTATTGATTTTGGGGTCAAGGGGTCAAAGGTCAAGGTCACATTGACCTTGTAAGCAAAAACGGTTTCCGATCAATAACTAAAGAACCTTAAGGCCTAGGAACTTCAAACTTGGTATAGTGATTGGTCATGATCAGTAGATGATCCCTATTGATTTTGGGGTCAAGGGGTCAAAGGTCAAGGTCACATTGACCTTGTAAGCAATAACGGTTTCTGATCAATAACTAAAGAAGTTTAAGGCCTAGGAACTTCAAACTTGGTATGGTGATTGGTCATGATCAGTAGATGACCCCTATTGATTTTGGGGTCAAGGGGTCAAAGGTCAAAGTCACATTGACTTCTTTGGTAAAAACGGTTTCTGATCAATAACAAAAGAACCCTTAGGCCTAGGAACTTCAAACTTGGTATGGTGATTGGTCATGACCAGCAGATGACCCCTATTGATTTTGGGGTTAAGGGGTCAAAGGTCAAGGTCACATTGACTTTGTAGGTAAAAACGGTTTCTAATCAATAACGAAAGAACCCTTAGGCCTAAGGACTTCAAACTTGGTATGGTGATTGGTCATGGTAAGTAGATGACCCCTATTGATTTTGGGGTCAAGGGGTCAAAGGTCAAGGTCACATTGACCTCTTAGGTAAAAAGGGTTTCCGATCAATAACTAAAGAACCCTTAGGCCTAGGAACTTCAAACTTGGTATGGTGATTTGTCATGACCAGTAGATGACCCCTATTGATATTTGGGTTAAGGGGTCAAAGGGCAAGGTCACATTGATCTTGTAGGTAAAAATTCTTTCAAATCAATAACTTAAGAACCCTTTGGCCTAGGAACTTCAAACATGGTATGGTGATTGGTCATGACCAGCAGATAACCTATTGATTTTGGGGTCAAGTGGTCAAAGGTCAAGGTCACATTGACCTTGTATGTTAAAACGGTTTCCGATCAATTAACTAAAAACACTTAGGCCTAGGAACTTCAAACTTTGTATGATGATTGGTCGTGACCAGCAGATGACCCCTATTGAGTTTTGGGTCAAGGGGTCAAAGGTTAAGGTCATGACCAGTAGATACTTGATAACCCTTATTAATTGTTTGATCACCTGGTCAGAAGTCATGCATAATAACCTTATCACATGACTAATTGGCTGCTGATAGGGGGCATACATGTTTTACAAACATATCTTGTTAGTCCCCTACCGGTTTACCGGAGGGGACTTTAGGTTTACCCTCCGTCCGTCTGTCCGTCCGTCTGTCTGTCAGTCCGTCAGTCCGTCCGTCCACAAAACTGGATCCCGCGATAACTTGAAAAGTACTGAAAATATTTTTATGAAACTTGATATATGGATAGATGGCAGTATGGAGATTATGCACGTCTTTTTCTTTTCTTCCTATGTTGAAAATTCTGGTTGCTATGGCAACAAATAGGCTGAAAATATGGCAAATTTTACACATAAACTGGATCCAGTGATAACGCAAAAAGTGCTGGAAATATTTTTATGAAACTTGATATATGGATAGATGGCAGTATGGAGATTATGCACGTCTTTTTCTTTTCTTCCTATGTTGAAAATTCTGGTTGCTATGCTAACAAATAGGCTGAAAATATGGCAAATTTTACACATAAACTGGATCCAGTGATAACGCAAAAAGTACTGGAAATATTTTTATGAAACTTGATATATGGATAGATGGCAGGATGGAGATTAGGCACGTCTTTTTATTTTTCTTCCTATGTTGAAAATTCTGGTTGCTATGGCAACAAATAGACTGAAAATAAGGCAATTTTTACACATAAACTGGATCCAGTGTTAACGCAAAAAGTAATAGAAATATTTTTATGAAACTTGTAATATGTGTAGATGGCAGTCTGGAGATTATACACGTCTTTTTCTTTTTCTTCCTATGTTGAAAATTCTGGTTGCTATGGCAACAAATAGACTGAATATCAAGATTTCTGATTCTAGTTTTAAGTTTTTTCACTATAAGTTCTTTATTTCTTAATGTATTTTCTTCAAACTTTAAATATAAGTTGCTTGTCATCAACCACATCATATGTGACAAAGTTTACAACTCTAGCACAAAATTTATCAGAATTACCTCCCTTGAACTTAAAATTTTCATGAAAAAAACATTGTTTTTTTTTTTAATAACTTCTTTTTTTCTGAACGTATCTACTTCATATAAATGTTGCTTATTATCACTCAAAATTTGTGAGTGTTCAATACTCTAGCAAGACTATTTCCAGAATTATGCCCCTTTTTAACTTAGACTTTTTTAGCTCACCTGTCACAAAGTGACAGGGTGAGCTTTTGTGATCGCTTTTCGTCCGGCGTCCGTCCGTCCGTCCGTCGTCCGTAAACTTTTTCTTTAAATGACATCTCCTCATAAACCACTAAGCCAATTTCATCCAAACTTCACAGGAATGTTCCTTTGGTGGTCACCTTTAAAAATTGTTCAAAGAATTTAATTCCATGCAGAACTCTGGTTGCCATGGCAACCGAAAGAAAAAACTTTAAATATCTTCTTTTAAAAAACCATAAGAGCTAGAGCTTAGATATTTGGCATGAAACATCTTCTAGTGAGTGTCTACCAAGTTTGTTCAAATAAAAGCCCTGGGGTCAAAATTGGCCCCGCCCCGATGGGTCATTGATTTTCCCTATATGCATATAGCAAAAACTTAAAAAATCTTCTTTTAAAGAACCCAAAGAGCTAGAGCTAAGATATTTAGCATGAAACATGTTCTAATGGGTGTCTACCAAGTTTGTTTAAATAAAAGCCCTGGGGTCAAAATTGGCCCCGCCCCGGGGGGTCATTGATTTTCCCTATATGCATATTGTAAAAACTTAAAAAATCTTCTTTTAAAGAACTCAAAGAGCTATGGCTAAGATATTGAGCATCAAACATCTTTTAGTGAGTGTCTACCAAGTTTGTTCAAATAAAAGACCTGGGGTCAAAATTGGCACCGCCCCAGGGGGTCATTGATTTTCCCTATATGCATATACTAAAAACTTTAAAAATCTTCTTTTAAAGAACCAAAAGAGTTGGAGCTAAGATATTTAGCATGAAACATGTTCTAATAAGTGTCTACCAAGTTTGTTCAAATAAAAGCCCTGGGGTCAAAATTTGGCATCGCCCCGGGGGGTCATTGATTTTCCCTATATGCATATAGTAAAAACTTAAAAAATCTTCTTTTAAAGAACTCAAAGAGCTATGGCTAAGATATTTAGCATCAAACATGTTCTAATAAGTGTCTACCAAGTTTGTTCAAATAAAAGCCCTGGGGTCAAAATTGGCACCGCCCCGGGGGTCATTGATTTTCCTTATATGTGTATAGCAAAAACTTAAAAAATCTTCTTTGAAAAAAACCCAAATAGCTAGAGTTAAGATATTAAGCATGAAACATCTTTTAGTGAGTGTCTACAAAGTTTGTGTAAATAAAAGACCTGGGGTCAAAATTGGCCCCACCCCGGGGGTCATTGATTTTCTTTATATGTGTATAGCAAAAACTTAAAATCTTCTTTGAAAAAACTCAAATAGCTAGAGTTTAGATATTAAGCATGAAACATCTTCTAGTAAGTGTCTACAAAGTTTGTTCAAATAAAAGCCCTGGGGTCAAAACTAGCCCGGCCCCAGGGGTGTCATTGTTTTTAACTATATGTTAATAGTAAAAACTTAAAAAAAATCTTCTTTTAAAAAGCCCAATGAGCTAGAGCTTAGATGTTTAGCATGAAACATTTTCTTATTGGTGTTTACCAAGTTTGTG